CAACACAAAGTCTACTTTCTATACTAATACGTTTATTATAGTAACTATAATAAATATAAAACTTTATAACTCTACTAATACGTATATAGCTTACTAATATTTATATTATCTAGTATAGCAAAATAGTAAGTTTATGCTACTAAGCTATTATACTAGAAGACTAGTATAATTATATTATAGCTTATTAAAGGAACACACTATAGTTTAGATTAGACACTACTATCTATATTTATATATCTACTATCTATATCCCTAAGTGCTATATTAACGTAGAAACTATTATAGATAGTACGTAGCAGGTAATCGCTGCCCCTTGCCTATAAATATCTAGTTAACAGAACAAGTTCTAGTATTATTATTATCTTACTCTATACTAAGGTGCACGCTATAAGGTAAATTAAAAGCAGTATATACAACACTAGTAAAGGTGCTATAAATAAAATATTCCCTTTACTACCACTAAAGATACTACTATACCACAGACTATTAGCTACCCTGCTAGTTAACTATTACACCTTAATAATATACAAGGAGTACTTAATATTAATTCTTCCTATAATTCTACTAGCAATTCTACTAGTAATAGTGCAGACCTAATAGACAACTATAACAATAACATGTAACTCGCGGACAAGGATAAAGAGGTTCTATACCTAGAGGACTTTTTAGGGGATATATAATAGCAAATAGGACACACACTATATTATAAGTAAATAGAGCGTGTTTAATAACTTTACACTACTTCTCTTAATATATACGCTGTATTTATAGGTACTCTACGCAAGAAGTTCTAAAAGATATAATAAACTTTAAAGAAATGCTATAATATTAATATTAGTAATACTATCTACTAGGGGTAGCATATACTATATACCTTATTCTAGGATACTATAACTCCTCTATCTATTAATTATTGTGCTAATAGGTGCGTAGCCTTTACTAGCGACCTTAACACTACTTATACGTGCCTATCCTATAGTAGAGCTTAGTATAATAAAAAAGGCAAATTAAAATATTAATAGTAATATATCCCTATACTTCTATAACTACGTATCTAGTATAATAATAGTTATTAGTTATAATAATTAAAAGCATATTAGGTAACTTTTAACCCTACTAGCAAATATACTTTACACTAAGATATATATAATAGGGACTGGTTTTAAGAATATAGTAGGAAAGGATACTTCTAAGACCCTAGGGATCTAGCTTTACAACTTATATTAGACGTAGTAGGTATAGTAAAGAACCCTAAGAAATAATAAAGTATTATACTAGTAGTGCTATATATCTTAAACCTTTACCTATCTATTTAGGATTAAGACTATAATACACTTGTTACTACTATTATACCTAGTACTTTTAATAAAAAATTTATAGACACTTAGCTATACCTAATAGTAGAGGAATTACACTAACTTATAGTTAGAGTTTATATATATAACGCAGACGCTTAGGAAGAATTTATCCTTTACGCCTACCTTATACTAATAACTAGAGATAGGCTAGCTATAGTAGAGATTATAGGAATAAAATAGCCTAGTATATTAAAAAGGAGTTACTACCTATACCTACACAAAGGAACTAAGGGGAGAACTAGTAAATACTCTTTCCTAAATAGAGATACCCTTTACCTAGTTATATATAATAATTTAGCTACTACTATTAAAGATATATATAAATAATAGACTAATATACTAGCCTCTAGATACACTACCTTATACTAAGATGCTAGTATTAACTACTACTTTATCCTATTAGACCTCCCTACTATACACTTTCCTTATAGCTTTCCTATTAACGTTATACACGTAATATCCTATAACATACCTAAAGCCTTATTCTAACTCTAGAAAGGGGATAAATTTAATAATAAGACTATACTATAGCTTATTACTAACGCTAATTAGGCTTTAATTAATAAAGGTCTTTATAAGTCCTATTCCTTAGTACTAACCTAAGTTAGCACTACCCTATAAAGTACTATAATATATAAGATATAGACTTTATTTAAATAGTAGACTTTTATACTTACTTATAGAGCGCTAGCTATACAGGTCTATCTTTAGAAGGAATATACTAATAACTTCCTACGCTACTATAAACTACTCTTCTATATAAGCTAGAGGGAGTTTACTATTAACTAGATTAATAAGTTAGAACTATTAGTAGAGAATTTTATTTGCTAGTATAAGTTACTCTACTACTATAGTAAAGTAGACTAGTTACTATCTTACTCTATTTAGATTTATTACCTACTCTACCTTATATCTAATACTAGGAATTTTAGACCACCTATATACTATACCTAATAGTCTTTAGAGAGACTTATTAGTTATATTAAGAAGATAGCAACTTCTCCTTCCTAGAAGTATATTAGTTTAGAGTAGAATATGCTAGTATATAAGTGTATTATCTACACGTAATAGCTTAGGCTTAGTATAGAGTATAATATTAATAAAAATATAATTATAACTTAGCTATAAGAGCACTATCTAAAATCTAAGTCTTATAGTAGTATAGATGCGCACTAGGGACATATCCTAGATAATACTTATACTATAATTGCAACTATAGTGTATGCTATATAGACACGCGCCTAGGATATAGTTATATATAACTATTATATACTTCTAAATAGGTATACTATTAGGGTTTTAGGGAATTATAAAGATAGTAACTACCCCTAGAGCACTGCGTTTATTATATATTACGCTACTAGAAATAATTATAATAACTATATTTAGCTCTCCTTTAGGATAGTAATATACCTATTTTAAGATCTAGCTAATAACTCTAAATAGGTAGGAGTACTTTAATAGTAATAGATATAACCCGCTGCTGCTATAGGCTAACTAGCCTAACCTTAGAGGATAATAAAAGATAATAATAGTATTAAATAGATTTAAATAATAATAATTATTAACCTTATAGGAGTAGCTATAGTTTACTATAGACGCAGCGCTTAACTTTAACCTAGTAATAAGCTGTATATTATTAATAAACGCGGATAGTCTAAGACTAACCACCTATAGTTAAGTAAGATAATAGGTCTATATCTAGCTTTATAGTACTAGGCTCTTTATACTAATACTATTACTATATAATATACTAGTATTTATTAGGTAAGTATATTATCTATATATTACGCTAGACTATTATTAGATATACTAACTTACACTAATTGCCACGCAGTTATACTACTTGTATACCTATTTAATTTATATTATACTGCGGTTTTCTAAAAATAAGTAAGGTATATAGTAGATAGCCTTATAATTACGCAGGTATAGGCTAATAATTAGGCGGTTTTAGGCCTATTAATTAGGCGGGTATAGGCTATTAATTAGGCGGGTTAGGCCTAGGGACAGGATAGGCGATAACGTACTAGTAGTTTATATAAGGATACTAAAAAAAATCTAATACTATTATTACTATACCTAATACTTATATTTTATCTTTTATAAACTACTTTATATACTCTACTAATAGGTCTATTATAAACTACTTTATTTACTCTACTAATAGGTCTATAGTAAACCACACTATGTTTATACTACAAAAAAGTAAACTACTACTTTAAACCTATTTATAGGTATACACAAGGTCAGTTTACACCTATATAGTAAACCCCTAGCGTACCATTCTACAGTAAACAATTTTTTACCGTAGTGAAGACCTATAGGAGTAGGAATTAATTCGTTCAATCTCCATACAGACGCGCACTCCCATATGCCATTGAGCCGTATCGGACCCCTTTCGGACGTTCCTATCTACCTGTGTCATTACAACAGTAAGCTATATGACCTGGTTACAAGCCTGCTAAACCTATATTGGCGCTTATCGTGTACTTAGCGTGTATTATACTAGGGGATGAGGTTTTTTTATAAATAATAACATGGGACCCTTACCCTAACCCTAACCCAAAACACCCTAATCCTACCT